GTGTCCTAGGGGCACGGCTCCTATACCCGGTTGCCATTTCTAGACCCCGTGCTTCAGGACTGTGAACTGACGCCCTAAGTGAGAAGCCCGTCATCCTTACCGGTTCTCCATAGTTACGTCTCAGATTGCTGTGGTCCCAGCTGTAATAAGGATCTCTCTCCTGCTGGGATCGGTCTGGGAGCTTGGGATAATCGCCGTAACTATGGAAAACATCAAGCACAACACCAATATAGCCTGCTGCCCCAGAGAGCTAAAGTCATCGTCAGAGAATGGATTTATTACACTGAAAGCCCGTCTCCCCTCCATCCTGGAAAGCAAGGCCCTGACTCCCCAGACAGCCTCCCACCCGAGCACTGACCAGGCCCCAAACTGCAAGGCTGCCAAGCGAGGTGCCACCCAAAGGCCCTTTGGCAGAGGAGAAATCTGCTCTGACCAGTGTTCCCTCTAAGCTGAGTGAGTGTGAGCTAGCTCACAGGTTTTTAGTCTCTGGCTCACACGTTTTTGTCTTAGCTCAGGAAGGGATGGCTCCAGAGCAAACTATTCTATGCGGTAGCCAAATCGCTTGCTCACAACTTCAATGCCGGTAGCTCACAAAAGTAGAATTTTTGCTCACAAGACTCCACAGCTTAAGAGGGAACATTGGCTCTGACACGGGCGTTCTCTTTTCTTGTGCACTTTTTAAAAGGCAGCCACATGCCACCTGAGGACCCTCCGCAAGTTAGGCCACAGGACTTCCCCATAAGTGGGACGTGGACTGGTTCTTCAGCTGGGCCGTGTTCAGCTTCTCAGACTTAAGTGCTGTGCTGTGTGGACTCCTGACATTCGTCAATCACAAATTCAAGAGATGATGCAGGTGTGAGTCCAAATGAAATGTCAAACATACATACTGCTGCGGCTACTGAGCCCTGTTTGGCCGCAACGAAGACTCTCAAGTGGGTTTGGATTTAGGGACTCTGCTAGAGCCTCTTCTCTCCACTTCACGCCAATAATCTGGACTCCTGCTAACGTAGGAGACCCAGGTGTAGAACGTCACTCTGCCAGGGGTATTCTTGAGCCAGCCTCACCCCTCTCACAGGCACAGGCGTAGAGTACTACGCGGGGGCGCGGGCCACCCCCGAATTTTTCCAAGAGGGACTGCGCCTCCCCTGGGCAACCGGTGCCAGGCACTGAAGACGGAAGAGGAAACAGACAAGCGTGCGGGCTTGCCTACTGGCAAGGTGGAGCAAAAGCTCCTCCCCTCCACCGCAGAGGTGGCTGGGAGAAAAGAGAGTGCGAGCGCGGGAAGAGAGACACCGGGGCAGCGTGCAGCCACCTAGCTCGTGACTCAGCGGGCAAAGGAGAGCGAAGGAGGGATGGATGGACCCGGCTGTGGCGGCAGCAGGTGAGCCAGAAGGCCAGCCGAGGCACACATGCGAGCCGTGTCCCCTTCCCTTGGCCAGGTGGCTGGGCCGGGAGGCTGCTGGGGGGGGGGGTGGCGCCTAGGAGAGAGGCAGAGCCACCAGGCCTGGTGCAGGAAGCCAGAGCCAAACCAGGCGGGCGCTGCTGTTGCTTGCTGCCCTTCCTCTCCCTCCCCCGCTTCCCCTGTCCAGCTCTGGCGCTGCCTCACCTACTGGTCCCTGGAGACAAGGCGAGCGGGTGGTTCTGGGCAAGCTGTCTTGCCACACCTGGCCACAGCCGCCCCCCGAGTGAGCAAGTGAGTGACCGGACTCCGAAGCCGTTGGGGGCTGTGGGCGCCTCGCTAGGGAGGCCGGGGTAGAGGTGTGGCCCGGGCCACACTTTGGAGCTGTTGGGGTGGCTGTGGGCCCCCTCTCTGGGAAGGCTGGAGGTGTGTGTGTGTGGCAGAGCGGGGCTAGTAAACTGTCCCCCAAAAGGGGAAGCTTCGCCAGCCTGAGGAGTCTGTTACATGCCCCCTTCCTCTGCTCCCGTCGGGAGTTTCAGAATCCCCTTACTCTCCTCTGTGGGATAAACGGGAAAAGATACAGTTTTTTTTCTAGAAACCCTGGGAGAGAGAACAACAACAACAACAAAAAAGCATGGCTGAAAACCAACCCTCCTCTTTGGAAATAACGCAATGATATTTTCCCCTCCTTTGCTGCCGGCAGCGGGGCTTCTAAGCTCTGGAAGGCTTTAAAAACGAAGGCTTTAAAAACAAACCTGTGTCTGGACCTCTGCTTGCAAAAAGCATGCTACTGCTCGGAAGCAGGGACCGGCTTGGGGGGGGGAAAGATCCACCCACTCCCTCCCCCCTCCTCTGCTCCCAGCTTCTGAAGGGAGGGCGTGGAAAGAAAGTGAACGTTTTCTCTTCAGAGCAAAACAAACGTCTCTCCCTCCCAGGTCCAGAACAATGTCAGAGTCCAGTGGAGGCACCTTTAAGACCAACAAAGTGTTATTCAAGGTCTGAGCTCTCCTGTGCACTCATTCTTCGTCAGACAATGAAATGGAATTACAGTCAGATCACAGTTGTATCCAGAGGAAGCATTTCTAAACACATGCAAAGATCTAGGACTGTTAGTAGTGCCTTCCACTGATGGACTACTGGGTCTAACGGGGTCTTCAGATCCTTGTGTAGGTGTACAATGACCAACCATCTGGTTTGAGCTGCTTTGGGCAAGTTGGAGCAAATGATAAATATTGTTATTGAGTTTATATACAGACAGCGAGTGCTACTATTTGCTTTGCAATCTCTACGTGAAATTTATCAGTGCCTAGCATTTGCTCATGGTGCCCTTTCAAAGTTTTGTTTCTTCCTTTATTTATTTTATTTATTTATATCTTCAATTTGTATACCGCCCTTTACCCGAGGGTCTCTAGGCGGTTTACAAGTATATGGCCTAAGTACCTAATTAGTTCCTATCCTAGGGCCACAATTCAACTGGGGGAGGGGCTACCTATCGACACCCGAGCTGCAGAAAGATCTGTCTTGGCCATGGGGCCAGTTTCCTGGCATGGCCTTCTGGAGGTTTAGCAGATACCCTCCTCACCTATTTTTAGGAGGATGTGCAAAGCCATCTTTCCATGGGCTTTTTTAGTGTTCTTTGTGTCTGATGTTGAGGGCTGCATTATAAAGAAAATGAACCTATCATTGGCTGTATTGATGTTGGTTATGTTTTTTGTTATATCCTTCCTGCCATATTGTTAATCACTTTGACTCTCCGGAGAAGAAAGGGATATAAATATTTCAATAGATTTGATAGGTGCTTCATAAAAATAGGGTCTTAATATCCAGGTAAAGACCTAGGAAATATAAATACCAAGTGCTGTTATTCCATCACAGAAAGAGGTCCAGCCTAAGTGCAGATATCCTTAATCAGATGTGTAGCAGATAAATAGCTTGTTGAGTTCCAACGGGATGCCAAGACTACTTGCTACTGAATGAAAGGTTCAACACTCATATGTTGAAAGCCAAGTTGGGTCCTCCCTATGATGTCACTGGGCCTTGGCTCTTTTAAGGACCTAGCACAGTGGTGGCGAACCTATGGCATGCGTGCCAGAGGCGGCACTCAGAGCCCTCTCTGTGGGTACGCATGCCATCGCCCCAGCCAGGCCCAGACCGTCATTAAAGTGTGGAATTCTCTGCCAAAGTAAAAGAAAGCCTTTGGGATTGCTTTCCTTACTTTGTTTGGATCATCTTATGTTAATGTATGAGTTGGTCTTTTCTAAAGTAAAACCTCAGTATTCAGGTTAAATTGCCGTGTTGGCACTTTGCGATCAATACGTGGGTTTTGGGTCGCTGTTTGGGCACTTGGTCCCTAAAAGGTTCGCCATCACTGACCTAGCATAGCAATGCCTCTGGCCTGGCCCCACCCCTGGAAATGGGAAAGTCTACGCCCTTTTGCTCACAGGGAACCGACAACAAAGCATGCCACCCTGAGCCACTGGGCAGAAGAAGAAGAGGAGGAGGAGGAGGAGGAGATTGGATTTATACCCCGCCCTTCACAACCTGAGGGAGTCCCAGAGCAGCTTCCAATCTCCTCCCCCTCCCTGTTGTGGGGCTGAGAGAAGAAGAAGAGAGAAGAGGTTGGATGTATACCCCATGGCCCTTCACTACCCAAAGGAGCCTCAGAGCGACTCACAGTCTCCTTTCCCTTCCCTTCCCCACCACAGACACCCTGGGAGGCAGCTGAGAGAGCTCTTGAGATAACTGCTCTTTTTCAAGGACAGCTCTTATCAGAACTAAGCCTTGCCCAAGGTCACACCAGCCAGGTGCAAGTGGAGGAGGAGGAAGAAGAGGAGATTGGATGTATACCGCATGGCCCTTCACTACCCAAAGGAGTCTCAGAGCGACTCACAGTCTCCTTTCCCTCCCCCTCCCCACCACAGACCCCCTGGGAGGGAGGTGGGGCTGAGAGAGCTATTGACAGAAACTGCTCTTTTTCAAGGACAGCTCTTATCAGAACTAGGGCTTGCCCAAGGTCACACCAGCCAGGTGCAAGTGGAGGAAGAAGAAGAAGAGGAGATTGGATGTATACCCCATGGCCCTTCACTACCCGAAGGTGTCTCAGAGCGGCTCACAAACTCCTTTCCCTTCCCCTCCCTACAACAGACACCCTGGGTGTGTTCAGACGGGGCATTTCAGCCGGCATAAACTGCACCGATTGGAACCGGTGCAGTTTATGCCGGCTGAAACGCGATCACACTCACCTCGTGTCTGCGGAGCCCATCGCAATACGCCCGTCCATACAGCGGGCGTCGTCGGTTTGTGTTTTTTTTTTAACTTAGTTTGCGCATGCGCATAGGCAGCCATCCAGAGAATGGCGATTTTCGCGCATGGGAAAAAAGCCCTGTCCTACATTTAAACTTGTTTAAAGGGCAAAGTAGCCTCCCTGAGGACTGTGGACGTGGTGGCAGGCAGCCCTGGCTTGCTCGCTCCCTCCCTCCCGCTGGAAATCCCTGGCGGCCGGGTTTCGAATCCTGGTCTTAAGGATAATCCCGGCTCAGGGTGCGGCTCAGGCGTCTTCGCGCCGCTTCGCTTCGGTGCACCTACCTGGGCGCTCCGGCCAAGGATCACCCGAGCCC